CCCCAAGGACTCCACTAAAATCTATTCTGATTTGGGTAATCTCATAAAATTGAATTATAGATTTTATGCATAGATAAACTTAAATTTTGGATGTCATACCAGTCCATGTTTTATATTATAATCTAGGAATGGTTCCCAGTTTGAGTTGAAATCTAGGTCAGATTTATTTTTAAAGTAGAAAATTATTCCAGACATCAAAGCACATTCCCACAGCTTAGTTATTCTTCCATAGAAGGCATCAGAGAACCTTTCCAGTAAGAAGCATTTAATATCGTTGCAGCAGTTATCATATTGAGCTAATTCAATATACTTTGAGGGGATATATGGTTTAGTGAAGTTTAATAGGAATATTGTAGTTGAAATGGGAATTCAACTTTTTAAAGAATTGTTTCATGCTGGTGTGAATAGTTTCCAGAATGGTTGAGCTCCACAGAATTGCCACCAAATAAGAAAGAATGAACCAACATGCTCATTACATTTTCAGCAATTTTTTGAAAATGAATTGTCCATTTTGGCAATCAAAATTGGGATAATATTCCAATAATAAAATTCACTGATTTTCTCTTGAGTATAATTTTCAGAGTATATTTAATGTTCTTGTATTAAAATTCCCATTGTTGCATCCATAGTAATATCCAAGTTCTGCATCCATTTGATCATACAGTCTTTAACCTGTTTGGCTAAACCTGTCATACTTTACTGGCAGTATAGAAATACCACCCATCAGATGTTCTGAGTTACCTATTAAAAAGATTTTCAAATTCAGTCAAATATCTCAGTATTTTCCCTTTTCTTCCAATTCTTTTGATGCTGTGCTATGGATTGGAGACTGTTTTATTAGGTTATTATAACCTAATAGATATAATAAAGTTTTAGCATTTGAAAATTTATGGACCAATAATTCACTAAAAAAAATAACCTGTTGAACACATCATAAAGTAAATACTGTTCAAAATAGGACTGATGCAACTATAGCTTTCTTCTTTAAAAATCAAACACTGTATACTGTATTAATTTACCATGCCTTGTTCCTGATGTCAGTTTAGTTGAAGAGATATGGTATGGCATTAACTCAGTATATACTAATCATATATATAGTAATAAATCTATACATGCATTTGTAACTGTCCATATTTTTCCCAGTATTACTGATTATATACTTTATCACATGAAATAGAATTAAAACAACTTAGAACCAAATAGCTAGACCACACACCGGCAGGTTTGGAAAGCCATTACTTTCCAGAATTTAAGTATCTCATCATATGCACCACAATAGGAAAACACATTTATTCTTAAATTATACCACTTTAAAAACTCATAACAATAGTTACCAGACTGTTCTATAAGGTAATGTTCAAGTTGAATAAAGTTACCTGCTAAGTATATTGCACAGAATCCTGTTTTATGCTAATTGTGTTGCAGTCTTTGTCTGACAAAACTGACCTCAAAGTGCAAACGCATACGAAGTTTAAAAAAAAAAGTTTTGCATTCTACATATATTATGTAATGAAAGCATGAGTTGCCCCGTTTCACAAAAGAGGCCACTAACTCATCTCTGAAAAAGCATTTCAAATGGTCAAATTTCATGGCTTCAAGAGAAGACAAGATTTCTGTTTGAAGCATTGCTTTCAACATATGAAACCATGAATAATTGTCGATGCTGGTAGACTCTTCAGATACAGTAGAATTAAGTAGAACAGATGACTGCTCTGCCAGTGCATGAGGCAGATACCTGATATTGCATCCATCTCATGATTTTTATAATGTAAGTATTATAAGCCTCTAAATATTGACAGTGCTGCAGAAAGGAATATTCAGTCATATTCAATAATTTAGCAAAGGTTTTTATTGTTAACATTGCTTCCTTTTGTAGCTAATCTCCACTATCTTCTATGTTGCTTAAATTTCTACAGGGCAAAGGGTCTTATTAGACTTAATTAAATCAGGAGTAAATGACCCATAAATGTACAGCAAACAGATATTTGGTTTTCAGCCAGATGCATTCTGATATTTCTACATTTAACAGCAGTTTCAATATATTTTATATTCGCCCTCATCTCAGTAGTTTAAGCTGAAGGCTACCTACCGATCAGTCTACTGAAAAATTGCTCAAGGGAATGACTTTTTAAAAGCATTCAAAAATTTATTTGGCTAGCAATGGAAATGGTAGTTAAACACAGCTTAACTTTTCAGCTTCTGCTTACACAAACACACACATATCTGAGTTCATGAAAAGAAGGAAGAATAATGGATACATTTCATTATCTTACACAAATAACAGTAGCAAATAAATGCACTTCTTTGGCTACTTGGTTTCTTTTGCCTGATGCATCTGACAGTGCATGATTTTATATTTGGAAGACTGCTAAAAGTTCAAAGAACAAACAAAACAATATAATTTTTGCATGCACTGGAACAGTGCACATTTGAATTTGAAATCTGCCTGAGAAGAGCAGCCTGGCTCAGAACATACAAAGATAACATATTACTGCAGTTTTTTCCTTATGCCCAAAATGGTTTTTAATCTCTGGAATATGATTAACTGATAATCCACGCATTTCCACTTCCTCCCCTCAGTTAGTTGCAGTATGTAGTCAATTGTTGCACAAATTAAATCTCTGTGTACCATTTTATTAATAATTTCATTCCTAGATTTTCAGTGCTTGCAGAAGTTTAAAAAACAAAAAGCCTAATTGCAGATATTAGAACACTGGAAAGAACATGAAATTAAATACCCATTTTTTAGTGTTTTGTTCTTAGTTTAAGATTGTTAAAATGATTGTTTTAAGCATAGAACGTTTCATTCCTGCTAAAAATTAGTAGTCAGCTGAAATTGTATTAGGTACTTCTATAAATCAAAATGTGGCCCTTTTAAAAAAAAGACGTTCTTCACTTTCAAACATTGAGTAGGGTTATTTGTGTCTCTTTATTAAGATCACAGCAGGTGGCACTGCCTAATCAAGTTAGGCTAATCTTGAATAAAGCTAGACCTGTATCACTCCATTGCACAAAGATATATTCATTTCTCTCTGTATCTACCCAGTGAATTCCCATGTGCTAACTTGTATAAACCCAAATGGCTAGAGATTAAGAGAGCATATGGGTCCATGTTCTCAAACCTACTAAACTGAAAGTGATCCCATGCAATTAGAATGGTGCACTGGACACTTAGTATGTAGTACATCAAAACAGTGCTCAAATCAAGAAAATGAGTGATTTTATAGTTGAAGTGTCTCTAAAATATATCACAGCAGTTGCTGAGGGCCCCAAGATTGGGTTTTCAAGGGCAGATGATAAGCCCTTGGCCACCGTAAAGAGTTCTACTGAACAACTACTTGAGGATGCAGGGGAGGCCACAGAAGAAGCCATCTTTGTGGTCTTTTCTACCATATGAATGGGTCAACTGTATAGACATATGTCTATGAACCATTTGCATTTTAGCTGTCTCCTGCCTTACAAGTCCCCATCAGAACTCAACAGAAAACCAGGGAGAAGCCTGGGCTCCACAGGCCTGGTATTAGGCTCACTGATTGCCTAATAAGACTGTAAAAATGCAATTTTTGTATAGAACTGTGGGTTGCAATTTTTTAATAGTGCTAATTCCATTCTCATTATATAAAAACATATTTAGTTGTAATACTTAATAAGATTTGTAATACAAAAAATAATTTGCTTAGGCTACTGATGAAGAGTTTATAAATACACTTTTTTGCTTTTTGAACTAGAATACAGCATAACAGAATCTTAAAAATGTCTAATTATAGTGCGAAGTTTTTTAAAATATAACCTTCAGCATTGGCAACAAGAACTAATAAAATACATTGATAGACTCAAAGCTATTTTTTTTATTATTAAATGAGGGAAGTATAAGATGAATCAACAAAGCTGATCTTAGGAAGTATTTAAACTACCTGTAACTGAAAGAAACCTACAGATAATAGAATATTTATAAAATTGTATATGCTCCACAGTTCTTAGAAATAATTAATGTTCATGAAATGAAAAGACCACAATTTGGTTATAAAATGATTTATAGAACTAAAAGGTTTTGCTGATTTTATCATTTTAAATGTTATTAGAAATTTCAAAAATAAAATGTTAATTCAGAAATAATGTAAAGAGACAGAAGAGGAAATGAGGATGATGAGAGGAAAGTGTATGTAAAAAAACATGGGAATATCTCTAAATAGAAGTTTTCAGTAGGAGAAGATTATATATTTTTAATGGTTGAGTCTTGAAATGGCTGGCTTTGATTGGGCTGTTCCAGATAACTGGATTAGTAATTCAGAAATGTCTGTCTCCAACAAATTGCTGGCAAGATTTCTACAGTAACTTTTTATTTTATATTATTTCATTTTAGATTTCTACTAGTCTGATTTTCATAGGTCTTGATTGTGCTTTTGGGACAATACTGTATTTGAATTTTGTGCCAGTTGTATGAACCCTTCTATTTGTTTTAATTTTTGATGTACTGCTTATCTGTATTTGAGAATTAGATGCTGATTCAGTTATTTCTCTGGATTATTCCGATAATAGAGCTGGGGTGCCTCTCTAGATTTATTTTTGTATAATTTCAGAAAGTAATGTGAAATTAACTTCACCAAAAGCACCTTCCTTTTTGTTTTGATTAGTTTAGTATGCTGAATTGTGAAACATTGCTGGAGAAGTTTTGTTGTTGTTTTTTTTTTTAAATAGCCCCCCTGGGTATGATTGGTCAATAAGAGGACATTATTACTAAGGTTCCACTATTTCTCTATTAGGCTTCTCAGTATGTTGTAGGGGAGCATCAGGAAACCTCTGGAATAGGTTCTCTAGAAGGGAGAGGAATGAAGCTGCCCCATCTTGCATATAATCTGATTTCCAGCAGTAGGTAATCAGTGACCTGCAAATAGGATTGTTGGAAGAAAAGAAAAAACCTCATTGCCTCACCCTTCTCACTGGTGATACTTCTTCAGCATTCTGAAAGAGAAAAGACATGAGCTGCATGGGAAGAAAATTAATGCATGTGAACCATGTCCTGACAACCACTGCCATTTTGGGGATCAAAAAATATTTACCCACCTTCACATTTCATAAAGGATTAAACTTATAGTGGTTGTACACTGAACTCTTTCTCAGGGTGACATTATTAGATTTTATTGTTGTAAATTGGCTTTTTAAAGAGTGAGGTGATGGGTGACATTAGTCCTTTCTCATTGGAAAGATGTATACTTTCTTTAAAAGATGGACTCATAAGGAAAAGGACTGTTTTAGAGATCTTGATTCCTCTTGAATATTTATTTTTGCTTCAGTACATTTTTCCAAAGACTATACTGATTGTGAAATAAATTTGCACTTTGTCTCCATAATTTTGTCTTGGAACATCCAGTTGAATTAAAAAGTTTAGGTACCCCTGGTTAAATTGTATGTTTTGGTTAATCCCTAAGTGAACAGAAGTGACACAACATTTACACGGTAGAAAATTAAATACATTCTTTTGCAAATTTGAATATATGCTTATTTATGTGCAGTTGTTTACAGATTCAGAGTAAGGAAACAGTAAATATGAACTTTGCAGAAGTTTTGGCAGGCTTTCAGTTGATTCAGTGCTACTTTTAAAACTGCTAGTAAAGTTATTAATAAGACCACAGAAGATGATTGACCCATTAGGAAAACACAGGTGAAGAAATTCGCTGACCCTTCTAAACCTTCATCAACCAAGGTCTTCTCTAAGCAAGTGTTTGAACATTTGAAAATGAAGATAATTCACCCTTGTTAAGAAATGGAAGTTATATGGAACTATCAAAACCAAGATCTGAAAGAAAACTCTGCCAGAACTGCCTGAAAATTGTTCAGATATTCAAAAGAGAACTATAGATCACTGTAAACAAAGGGCTGAAAAGATTAGTTTGATGCTGGAGTTGCTGTCCACAGTATAGTTTTGCTTTTGCAACAGTGATGCACATGGGAGAGTTTTCGGAAAGAAACCTTTGCTCCATCCTCATGATAAAAGTAATCACCCAACGTTTGCAAAAGAATTCCTAAAGTGTTTTCAAACACAGTGTTTTGAACTAATGAAACAAAAATTGAACTGCTCAGCTGTAACCATACACAATACATTTGAAGAAAACCGGATGGTACATTTGGAGTACACTTTGCTAACTGTTAAACAAGAGGATGTCTCTATCATGCTTTGAGAATGTGTGATAAGCAGTGGCACAGAAAATGTTGTAAGGGTGGCTAGAAGTTAATGTCCCACAGTCAGTGGGAAAAAAAATGAACTAAATTGCCTGGGTATTTCATCAAGACAACAGTCTGAAACATACTTCTAAATCAGCCATGAGGTATTTACAGGAAAGAAAGATAAAGGTTTTGGAATAGTCCTGAAACTTGAATATTATTGAAAATCTGTGGGGAAATCTCAAAACATGCAGTACACGCAAGGAGACTTAATACTCAGATTTCTGAGCTAGAAGATTTCTACAAGGAAGGGTGGGAAAAATTCGAAAAACAAGAATAGAAGGATTTTTAGCAGGCTACAGGAAAGGTTTAGAAGCTGTTAACTACTGCAAGAGGATTTGTTTAAAAGAACTCAGTGGTACGGTATCCAAACTACTTTGACTGCTCTGTTTACCATTTCCTTGTTTTGAATCTGTAAACAAATGCACATAAGTAGTATATGTAGTATAACCTTACCATTAGAAACTTCAGTTGTAGTTCAGTTTGTAGATAGACTTCTGTATTTCAGTTTTTCTTTTTATATTCTCAAGATCTTAATGAGAGTGGAAGAAAGAGTTAAGAGTTGAAAGTGATAACTGATATGTATAAAGCATATACTGATTCAGTGTAGATTACATAGTTCGAGAACAAAATGATTCAGTTTAATTGTGGTACAGTAAATCAGGTAATGCAGTTTCTAAATCAAGCATGTTGTATTAAAAAGAATAGATTCATACCAAAGACAAGTAAATACTTTTCTCCACAAAATAGTAAATAATTAACAATTTCCAGGAAGAACTGCAGAAGCACATAATTGACTTAATTGGACATGATAAAGTCTTCAGGATTGCTTGGTTTATAAGCAAAAAATAAAACTGGCTAATGGCACAGTTTCCATTAGCTTTGTATAATTAACATTTTTATTTTTTAATATGAACTGTTGATTTTCTTAGAAACATGTAACTCAGTATCTTAACATTGATACAATTACCTTGGAGCAGTGAGGTGATAGAATTCCTGTTACTTAGCGAAGTCAAATAATATCTACTGCTTGTCTTGTATATCTTGTATGTAATAATCGAATTTCTTGAACATGTATATAGGTCCTCCTGAAATTCTTTATTTGCCCTATAAAATATTGTATTCATTATGAATATATTTCTCCAGTTCTGGATATTAACATAAATATATTGGCTTGTGAAAAAATAATTTTGAATTGGACTTTTGTACAACAAAGCTCCTATCCCAGAATGGCTTAGATTTGTATAGAGGTTGAAATGGCAGTAGTTTCTTCTTAGGTTAGTTTTGTGTTGCATTTGTAAATCTGAACATTTTTTAAAGAATAGTATATCATTTTTACATATATTTATTTAGCACAACTCCAAAAAAAGATGAATGAGAGTGAATATCTGTGAGTGTTGGAAGTTATCTGTTCTGCAAATTCAATTTCAGTTTCCAGCTGTAGTAAATTATTTCTTTGTAGCCTGTGTTTAAGACAGAATCTTCCTTTATGAGTGTTAAAATAAGTGTATTAGAATCGAAGCAAGGGTCCACATTTAAATTCCAATTCTATGTTTTAATGTCTTTCCTGTTTCTAAGTAAGGCTTTGATCTATTTTATTTTACAATGGTTAGTTTGGGGTGGGAAAAGTGTGTGGGAGATATGGGTAAACTGCAGCATGGCACTTTTTCAAACATTTTTCGTGTGCTTAGGTACATCCAAGCAGAAGTCAACTTCCCTTCAGGTAGCAGATCAGGAACTACTGTCACCTTTTCACCCATACCAGCCTTTGGAATGTATAGTAGAAGAAACTGAAGGCAAGCTCAATGAACTTGGACAGAGAATTAGTGCAATTGAAAAAGCACAACTTAAATCATTGGAGTTAATTCAAGGTGAACCTTTGAATAAAGATAAAATTGAAGAGCTCAAAAAGAACAGAGAAGAACAAGTACAAAAGAAAAAGAAAATACTGAAGGAGCTGCAAAAGGTGGAAAGGCAGTTGCAGATGAAAACACAGCAGCAATTTACCAAAGAATATTTGGAGACCAAAGGTCAGACAGAAGCTCCCCTTACTCAGCAGCAGCAGCAGTGTCCACATACAGGTGTCCTCCCAGAACTGGAAGGAAATGAGGGCCTTCCCGGGGATAACCTTTCAGGGTTGTCACAGGTTGACAGTGTCCTGCGTAAAGATGAGCAACAACACTCTCCTTCATCTCCTGAGCAAACTGAGTTTGCCCCTCTTCAGCCTCTCTCAACACCACAGTGTAACTTTTCAAGTAATATAGGTTGTAATGGGACAGATTCTTTTGAACTTCAGAAAGTATTAGGTAATCAGCAAACTGTAGGACAGCAGCAACCAATTGCTGGACATGTTCAGGGGCTATTAGTTCAAGAACCAGATGGATTAATGGTTGCCTCACCAGCACAGACGCTTACCGACACTCTTGATGACCTGATAGCAGGTGGGTTGAGAAATGTACCTTTTCTTGCATTAATGTGTATAAGTAGTTTCTTTTGCTCCCATTATCTTTCACAAGATTTTCTAGTTTTCCCTTATTATTTACAGTTTTTATTGGTGGTTTTAATATTGGCATTCAGTTATATCCAACTTTTTGGTAGCTTAATCAAAAGCAAAATATTAATGTTTTGCTTTATTGGATTTCTACTGTGTTGATCCATTTGTCTTTCATTTCTGAGATAATAACTATTATGGAAATCTAGTCAGGAGAATAATAAGTCAGATTATAGAATTGTGCAAATATACATTTAGTTGATGACCAGGCAACATTCATGAGAAGATGACATTTTGGTGAATCTGTGATTCTATGTAAGGGCTGTATGTGATTCTACGAAGGGGGCTCTACATAATCTCTAAATAGCATTTTCAAGGTGACATTGTTTGATTCAGAGGAATTCTTGGTTGAATTATATATCGGTGGAACTCAGTCTCTAATTACTTATTTATTTTTAAGTACTTATAAAACATCATAAACCTGTAGTCAATGTTAAGATGGAATACATTTGAAAAGTACTGCTCCACTAATTAAAGGTAAGGGCCAAAGATACTTGGAACAGGGAGTGAGAATGGGTTGTATTTGGTAATAAACTTGGACTTTATTTATTCATTTTGCAATATTTGATTGCTGTCCCAGTCATAACTCTCCCATCAGCTTAGCATCTCAGATTAGGGTAGTTGGAATTAAATAATAGGTTAGTTGGTAGAGATAGACAGACAGACTCAGTCAGAGTCTCTCTCTCTCAAGAACAGAAACCATGCGGAATCAGACAAAATGCCCATTTGATTAGCATATTGTTCCCATAGTAGCCAACTAACAATGTGAAACTCCAAAGCAAGGGAATACCCAGTCATGTTCTCCAGAAGTGGGTATTGCAAGACTTCTTGCTTCTGTTACTGGTAGTAGTGTGGAATCAAACACAGGACCCAAAAGCAAAATAATCAAGGCTTCACTGCAGTACCTACTAGAGGGGGACCCCATCAAGGGATAGTGAGAGACACCCGCTACAGACAAAAGAGATGCACTGATATTTATACATTTCAGGAAAGGGGAAGGGAAAATGATGCATACATACATATTACTATGATGATGCAGGCATACATATATAATAGGTCTTGAGTTACTTCTTGCCCTCTGCTATCAGTTTCAAAGAGAACTATTGTTCTAAGAGAAAAGAAACAAATCAAAGGGAGGGGGCGGTTTAGAATGCCAAAATGCTAGGACAGATTCATGAGTTGCCATGGGAATGCTCTGATAAAGTTGGTGTAAGCCAGCTCCAAGGCTATTGCAAATTCCTTATGTTGCAATTGAATATATATGTTAAACTTATTTTCCTCACAGTTCTGTATAGCTATTATATCAGGTTAGCCATTGATAGCTTTATTCTCCATAAAACTGTTTAATCCTCTTAATGTCACCTCTTGGTGACATTACCACATATTATGGTAGCAAATCCCACACATTATTGTGTGCTATGTAAAGAAATGTTTCATTTTATTTGTACTAAATCTATCACCATTCTTTATCACTGGATGACTCTAGAAAGAGCCTAAGCTTGCTTTTCTTCTCTGTTTCTTCTTTAGCAGTAGTCTAATCAGCTGCCTGAGGTAGGAAGACAGTCTGCTGCTCACCCATTAAGGCTGCCCCCAGCTGCTCACTCTCATGCATTGGTAGAGGCGCCGCCACTCTTGCTAATGGGTGACAAAATACTCTAGAAAACTTTGACCTAGATAAAATGAAAATAGCTATTTCAAGGACATGGATTAGTAGGGCACTGGGTGGGCGGGCTTTTAGCCCCAATTAGCTTTTATTCTTCAAGGTGGCTGATTTATTTCACCCAATGATAGAGCCTGTTCTTCCCTTTTTTTTTTTAATGT